GAATAAGCGCCATAATACCAAATGAAAATTCGTTCGCTCAGCACTTTCGACCACAGTCGAAAATCGAATGCAACTCATAATAGGGGCCAATATATTTAGCTTACTAGTCTTGGCTACTGAGGCTTATATTCCCAGTAAGTTGAAAAATCTATATAATTTTAATATATATGTACATATGTACATTATGACTGGCCATTTTTTACTTATGTATTTTGCCTTAGATATTCCACTGGTGCATTGCACAGTGATTTTGGTGCGGCAAATATTGAAACTGTTGTTGATAGACTTGTTTGTGCTGATTATGAATCCGTAAGTATAAAGTTTCCATCAGCACGAGGTTTTGAGATAAACGAGGTCAAAGTGTAAAAAAAATCGCGTTTTCGCGATTCGTAATCAGCATAAAAAGTCTATCAAAAATAGCTTTAACATTTGCGGCACCAAATTATTCTGAACAAAACAAATTTTGAATTTGACGCACAGTAAATTTAAAGGCCCATTTACATACAAATTTGGCGTTGCGTTGGCATTGGCGTCAACAGCTGATTACGAATACCTGAATTCCAATGCAAACGTCCTCATAGCCAAAATTTGTAACGCTGTCGCTTGCTTTTTCCATTTTTCCTAATAAACATAATCGTGGTACAAAGCTCAATAACAATATCAAAAATATTTTCCTTTTAATCAAATGCGGGCAAGAAATATGGTTTTTCATGTAATTATTGAAATTAAGTATTTATTTATCTGTCGTTAGTATGTAAATTTAGTGGCTAAAGCATTCGCTGCCAAGTGTTCATTAGCTGCATTTTTTTAAGCGAGCGACAAAAAACGCTCAACTCGGGTCAAATTTCCTTTCAGCTACTGAAGCAACCCTGTTGGTAGTTGAAAAAAAAACATGTGATTAGTTTAACGGGATTTAGATACAAAAACCAATTTAAATGAGTAATTAAACGAGGTGTTTGTGTATAAAATAAATTGCGTATATAAGTAACCGAAAATTTCCCTCTTGGAGTGTTACCGTTGTGCGACTAAAGTGTCAAATTGACACTTTTTGGAGATCGATGCCCCTTGACACCGACTTTTTAAAAATAGGCTTATTTTGACACTTTTCCAAAAAATCATGCGATTTTTGCCCTTTTCTTTGATTCAAAATTCTATATACACTAGGGCTGTGCGATTAATTGATTACTCAAAATTTTAATTAATCATAAAGTAAATAACTCAATTATTCGATTAATTGGAAATTATGATTACTCAAAAGTTCAGTTACTCGAGTAATCAAGATTTTTGATTAACCAAAAACAGAAATATTTGAGTAATTTGCTTTATGATTAATCAACATTTCGAGTAAAATGAGTAATTAATATTTCAACTCTTTACATATGTATAAAGTAGTTAAAGTTCTTTGATACTTTGAAAACAACGTTTCTGTTTTCAAAAATTAAAGCAAACAATTTTTTTTTCATATACAGAATGTAAAAAAGAAAATAAGCATTTTCCAAAGCAAACTCTCTTAACGAGCAAAATTATTTTTTTTGAGTAATCATATTTCAAGTAACTCGATTAATCATCGTTTTGAGTAATCAAAATCTTGATTACTCGAGTAATTGATTAACCGAATAATTGATTAACCAACTTGCTCGAGTTATCGAATAATTGCACAGCCCTAATATACACATTTTGACAATTCCTTCGCAAATTCTATTTTTCTTACGTGTTTAAAAGTGTTTTTAGTAGGTACTTAAAAATTACACCTCTGGCCAGATTTTGACTGATTTCAAACTCTTTATTATGTCAAATATTTTCCGAATAAATGTCCAGATGTAGCATGAATTAATGCACCGTTTTTGTGGCTTACCACATTTTGTTTTCATACTAAATGCAAAATATGCATATTGCGTCTTTTTAATATATCCCTCATCAATAGGTTATTATTTTAAGAGAAAAAACCAGGGACGGAAAATAATCAGTATTTTTTAAATTTTAACCAAAAAATTAACGAGTTGTAATCGCCGTAAAACAATTTTATTTATACCCACGTATTTGTCCCACGTGTATGTCCCACTGTAATTTACAATGATTTTTATTTTCCAGTTTGACCAATAAAGCTTAATAAAAATAATAATTAATATTTGAGTTTTAATTTTTCGCTCAAAGGTAATAATTTTTGATCAAAAATAATGATTATCTTATGATTTTTATTTTTTCGCTTTTACCCGCGGGTTTCACAAATATGAAAAATACTTTATGCAAAGATGTTATACTCTCCGCCGTATCCTTTTCAGAGGTAGCGACACCCTAATTAAAGGAACAAGTCCAAATATTTTCGGTTGAAAATTTCAGTAAGTCGCGTCTGTATAGCCTTTTCAATTCTGTGTTCGTATGGAAAAGTAGCTTATGTCGAAAGGCTGGCTTTAGTATAAATCGGCATTCGCAGCATACGATTGCGAATTTCTCACTGGTGCTGAGCCGTTGAACAACTTTTGGCAAATAAACGTGCAAGAAATAATTCCGATACTAGCAAGTCAATATTCTCATTAAGTCTCTTCAAAAAAGTCCCTGTCGTTTAAAGAATAAAGGGAATGCCGCATTATACTAAAGTCAGCCTTTCGACATAAGCTACTTTTCCATACGAACACAGAATTTATAAATAAACATTATTTTTAAGTGGAAAAATAAAACCCAGTAATAATTATTATCTCTGAGCGAAAAAATAATAATCATAAAATTATCATTATTTTTGATCGAGAAAATAAAAATCGAATAATAATCATTTCCGTTGAGCAAAAAATAAAAATTAGAGAGATAACGTTAGAGTCGATTTTATTTCTACTATGAATATGCCCTACTGGGTTTCGAAAGATAAAATAATGAAAGTCTTTACATACATGGTATAAACGATTTGAATGACTTAAAGACACTTTGTTTGCGACTTTCGAAAAATTTTCAGCGGTAACACTGCCTCTCCACTTTCCCATTAATAATTCACAATAGAGCAGTTTTTTTCACTTAACAACACTACCCTTCAGGTCGCGTATATTTAACCGACCTGGCTGAACTCGAATAAATAGCCAAGTTTGTGTTGTTGCTTTGCGTGTATTTCGTCATTTAAGCGAGTGTTCTTTTGTAGCTCGGTTGCAAAAGAATGCACCTATTGTAGCAAGCATACTTTTAACGCTCACACATAAACGCGACCGTGTGACCACATCAAAGGGGTGTTTGGCGATGTTCCCCAATCCGAACTAATTTTTGCCGCTAACGAAGCATGGATCTACCACAACATACTAGAGACCTAGTGCACCAAAGAAGGCCAAATGGTTTCAGTCGACCAACAAAGTCATGGTTACAGTTTTTTGAGATGCACTGTGCCATTACATCGATTATCTTGCAAAGGACCAACCGATCACCAGTGAATATTGTTCAGAGATTTTGGGCAGATTCCGTATTGATTTGGCCACATTGGCCAAGAAAAAAGTTGTTACCTCAAGTCAATACGTATGTATACGTGGAAGGAGTAAAAAAAATTGTAATGTATTGAGCTAAAAGAAAACTTTGTTGAGAAATAAAAAGATTTTCTATGCAAAAAGTCACTGAATTTTCCATTATTTTCATGGCATTTTAAGGCGTAGAAAAATTAGCTTGTTTTGAAATGCGTTGTTAATTTTTTAGAAGACTATAAAAAATGTTTGATTCGACTATATGGAGGCAGGTGGGAAAAAGTCATGGTGACAGTTGACGAATAAATCCACTTGTGCTTAGAGAAAGAAAAGTAAATTTTAAATCACGAAAGTTCGACAAAAGTTTGACTTTGAGCAGCTATAAATCATAATATGTCAAATTTATCAGATTTCACGTCAAAATTTTGTAGAATTTTTGTGATTAAAAAAAATTAAAAATTTTACCGCACCCCTAAAAATTTGTTTGAGATTTTGAAATTTTCGTGGAATTAAAGATGAACCCCAAAGTACTTATGTTCTTAAATATTAGTTGCGTTCCAGATAACTTCGTGTAAAAACCTGTAAAACTGTCAAATAACAAAATTACTCTCTTGAAAGAGAAAAAAAGTTCACCTGGAACGCGAAAAATCACTTTTCCTGTAACTACTTCCATATTTTTTATTTTAATGTTAAGCGCCATGGAGACGATCACATATCTTTATCAACCGTCTCGCGTTTTGCTTGACAAAAAACAAGCGCACTTGCCTTCTGATCGTCGTGGTGACCAAGTGCGCGGACAAGAAAAAGAAATTGTTTGTTGAATTAACGCGTTTATTTGAACGTTTGCGGGCAAGACACAAGCCAATCTCACACAAATGCAATGCTTGACGTATTTATTTGATTGTCTCCGTGGCTCTTAATGTTCTTTGCTATTTGTTTTTGTTTACAAACGCAATCCTGCCTATCGTTTGACACTTTTCATGAACTCGCAGGAAGAAAAACTTCGGACTAAAACCTGCAACTTCTGACTGAGAGAGAGAGCAAGTTACTCTCACAAAAATGGTTTGACCTGGAACGCTTTCCTGCAAAAAAACCTGCAAATCGTGAATATCGTGAGCATCTGGAACGCAACTATTGGAAGCAAATTTTTGCATCAGATTTCCTCAACCCCTACGTGGATGCTACCTACTATAGTCGAAGATATCACACATAAATTTTGGTGCCGAATGAAGTGGAGTAAGAAGGGGTCAAAGTTCAGATTACCCAATGAAGACGACTTAACCGATTCCAATCGGGACCAAAATTTATATGTGATATCCTCGATTTTAGTGGTATCGATTTTGGGCATTAAATTAATTTAACATTTTTGAGTCTCTATAGAGGAATCTGCACTTTGCCCTCTGTGCGACCCGCCTTAAACGACGGCAATCGGGACCGTGGTATTACCGATTGAGGGGGTGAGACTGAAAAAAATCGTCATTTGATTTTTTGCATTTTCTTTTATTTTTTTCTAAAGGATTTTATTTCATTAATGTAAAGAAGGATTTTAAAGGATTTTTTACTTACCGATTTTTAGGTACACTAAACCAGTATTCAGGTCTCAGTTTATTTTTGCCATACGACATAACAGAGGTCGGTAACGGTATTGCCTTGCCAATGGGCTTGCCCATGCGCAGGCGTAAGTACAATGGTGGGTCCGGGCAAGCGCGAGCCGGTCGTGGTATCAATTCTAATAGTGGTGAAAGAAAGAGAAATATAGAGAGAAAGAGAAAGAGGGAAGGAGCAAGAAAAAATTAAGCGCATTAGTAATAATGTCTTTAGCAAATTAATTACGCAATACTTCGAGTGCTACATTTATAGGTACACACATTTTTAAACACAAATATGCTGATAAATATAGACAGACATTCTAGGAAACCAAAATAGATAAGAAACAAAATTTGTTGACCAAAAATCTCGGTGTGATTTACATTAACACACATCAAGGCTAAAATAAGTGGGCTCATAAATAAATTTACGTAGTATCTCACTTAAGCTGCATTTAAATTCTTGACTGATAACTGATTTATTTATCTATTATGTATGTATATACAAAGGAGAATAGGGTATTAAACAAAAATGGAGATAATATTTGGACATTGACTATATTTAATTATTTTTCATCAATTTTGTTGCTGAAACTTTCATTTTAAATTTATTGCGTTTATTTTAAATTTTGTACACCTAAGGCAAAGTGATTATGCGTGTATGTGGATATGTACATATGTATTTATGTGACTTTTATATATGTACAAGGCAGCTTGTGACGTACAGAGTTATGCACTTGTTTAAGCGGTTAAAACACACACAAAATATGCTTGAGGTTATGTTATACTTTTATTTATTTTGTTTTTGAAAAACTGTTTCAATAAAATTGTCATACAAACTGTTGCGACATACCAACAATATTCAAGTGCGGAAAATATGGCGCCCGTACTACGCGTGCAAAATTTGGTAAATACATATGGAATGGATGACAATATGATTGTGTTAGTTAATGTGGAAGTTTTTTTTATTTTATTTTTTTTCGTTAGTTTTCATCATAAAAAAGTGACACACGGCAAAAAAATATATCAAAAGTATTCTCTTAAACTTGAAAACCTTCGGAAAACTCTCAAAGAGCTCGAAACTTTGACTGAACTTGTCATAAATTCCATGAAAAATATTTTCGAGTTCTTATAGGCTCCACAGACGGTGCGTCTGACTCGCGAGTCATCTATGTACGTGTTGACACGTCTTCCGACCACACACAATTGAGTCACTCAGAGTCATACCAGAGTCATGTCGGTGTAAAGAATACATATTTATTTTCACTATCCCATTCCAACCGACCTGCGAGTGAGATGCACCGTGTATGCCGCCTATTAGCTTATCACTTTTTTTGAGTTTAAGCGACTCACCTAATTGCTAAAAAGTTTTGCAACAAGCGAAAAAACACAAACATTTCAAAGTCATTTTATAATTTTCCTCTAAAAAATTTACTTGACACTTTAGATAAGTTGCAAAATTTCTACATAACTACTTTGCAACCCTGAGTTATTTAAAAAATATTAAACTATGTAAACGAAAAAGAAATCACATATTTTTCACATAAAAACAAAATACTTACTATCAACACTAATAAACAATTCCGGTTTGTCATCAACTGATACCATCGAACGGTAGTCCAATTTGGGTTGCGGTTTTACCTCCTTCAATTTCGTTGTGGAAGCAGTGCCCTCCGATGATTGTGGACGCATAAATGTGCCAATGGAGGAGCGTCTGCGTGCGTGAAGAAGAAAATGAGTGGATTAATAGAAAAATAAAATAATGGCAAAAGTTAAAAGAGCAGCACAATATTTTTTACTCTCTTCGTTTTCACTGCAATACTCTGTAATGAGGATGCCGAAATTGAAAATGCGATGAACGACTTCGAAACTATTTTCAAACACATTCAAACGAAGGAAAATGCTCGAAACATGAAATTTTTTTTTAACATGAAAAAATTTTCGGAAATTTTGTCACACATAGTAAATGAAAGAATAATATTCTAATACAAATTGAAGCAGAAATTGTGCTGATTACTGATTCAAAAAAAAACAAAAAGCTGCGCGTGAATTTTTCTAAACTTGCTATTCAAATTGGTTTGTATTTTTGCAAGCACAACTAATATTAAATTTTTTATTGCATGACACACAAGGATCTGTACGAAATTTATTTTGTTTGAAATAAACGCTTGGAAGCAAATGCTAGATATAATTTTCAGATGATTTCAAAACTGGACATAATTTTGTATTTAAAAACTTGACAAACATTATTGGCAATTTAAAAAAAACAAACGGTGTTAAGTGTAAGGGAAGGACATATTTTTTCCCATCTAAAAACTGGACATAAATTTTTGATAATTTAAAAAACCGGTGTAAAATTTAAGGGCAGGATATATTTTGTCGGTTATCTAAAAACTGGACTTAACTTTTGATAATTCAAAAAACCGGTGTAAAATTCAAGGGCAAACTAAAAACTGGACATAAGTATTTCATCATTTAAAAAGCGGTGTTAAAATGAAAGGCGGACATATTTTCATATAAATATATTGGTCATATAAAAAACTGGATATATGTACATTTTTTATCACTTAAAAAAACCGATGTTAAATTTAAGGTCACGACATATTTTTTTGGACATCAAAAAACTGGACATAAATATTTGGCCATTTAAAAAATCGATATAAAAATTAAGGGCAGGATATATTTTTTCTGATGATTTAAAAACTGGCCATAAATTTTTGTTCATTCAAAAACCCGATGTAAAATTTAAGGGCAGGATATATTTTTTGGACCAACTAAAAACTGGACATACATTTTTCATCATTTAAAAAGCGGTGTTAAAAGTAAGAGCGGACATACATATGTATATTTTTGGTAATCTAAAAACTGGACATCAATTTTTGGTCATTTAAAAACCCAGTGTAAAACTTAAGGGCAGGACATATTTTTGTCATATACATTTTATTTTTATTTTTAAAATACAACCTCAAACTTTGCTTATTTTGAAAGCTTTTATCTGAATAATACTCTAAATTCGAAAGATAACCTCAAAGCTGAAGTTTTCGGAACTGCGTGTAAAACGAAAATTTCGAATTAAAAAGCGACAGCAATCGACGAAAATAATAAATAAATAACACTTTTTGTGGAATAAATCCGTTGGATTTTGCATGTTTTTTTCGAAGGACACTTTTTGACTAATTTTTTAAGGTCAAGGAGTAAATGTGGCTTAATTGCAATATTTTCCCGTGAATGGCAATTACATTAGCTTTCAAAACCATTTTGTTTCATATCAATATGCTGCTTCTATCGAAAGCGCTACAATTAATTCGAATGAAGTCTTCGAAAAGCACACTGTGCGGAATGTGAAAGGACAAGAGATATATTTTAAAATGCTATGCATAGTTTTCATAGATGAGTTCAGCGACAAAATCTATTACCAAGATGACCAGCTTTATCTCAGAAAAAATTTCATGTCGATATGTGTAATTAGCATGAAATTGTTCCGGAAGTAGAATAACAATACCAATAGAGTAATTGGAATTCTTAACCAAACTGGGATTTCTCGACCGACTCGGAATTGGGAGGGGAAATTTCCCCTATTTACCATTTAGTTTACACATATGTATGTATTAATAAGGATTAATCAATCAACTAAATTAAAATTTCAATCATAAAATATGTTCATAAATCTACACCAACCATAAGTGCCTCATCATCTGCAACGGTAATCATCCAGGCAATCAACCGCCAGCCCCTATTTTCTATAAAGTCGTTTACAACCAGGGTTGGACACGCTGCACTGTTATTTTAATACACTGAGCATTTCACTACCACTATTCGAGTAGTGATAGTGCAATTTTAAATGCATTACCACTAAGGGCACGATTTGTCACTTAGGGGTTTCCCTTAAACTGTGAAAAACTCGTAAAGTGACTGTTTGACAGGTTGAAAAGGGTTTTATGAATTCATTTCTGTTTCCTAGGATTTTTCATAACAGCCCGTCAGCTCGAATGAAAGCTAAAATATAATTTAAAATGCGAGAATTAGCAGAAAATCCATGTTTATACAGTTAGTGGATGAAATTTATTAATTTTATTCACCTATTATTTTTTTCATTTGTTTTCAGTATTTTATCATATATTTTAGTATAAAATCTTAGGAAATACTGAAGTTCATGAGGTCGTTTGCGCATCAAATTTGCCTCGTAAAATTATGAGCGGCTCGTAATTGTACGAGCTTTACAAGGTCTACGAGGCGTTTACGAGTTTAAGGGAATACCGCTACCATCACTAACCATGGTAGTGTAATCTGAAATGCACTACCACTAATTGCATAGTGGTAGTGACAAATTCGTTTCAGGAGCTGCACTTTTAGGCTTTATTAGAAGACCTTCCAAAAGCTCTGCTATTGGAAAGCAGATGAAAAGGTGTTTTTTGTTTTTTCAAATAAATGTATGTCAAATAAAGAAACAATTGGAGCGTATGTCTCGCAGTGTGTATGGAGTAAAGTTAAATCGGTACTGCGTCATCGTTTAATATTTCGTGAAAACATTCCCCCAATTAGAAGGCCTGGGACCGAATCACGGCATTCGTTATTGAATGATTAGTCGTTTCGAATCGATTAAAATAAAATGGCAACTTTTTTCCCCCAATACAATTTAAATTAACAAAGCACACTCGCTATCGTATGCCGTGATCTCAATTTAAAATTTCTTTACAAGTTACATGCGATGTCGAGTGCCGCAATTTGTGCTTTAAAACTGATTAAATTTATTTTCTCATTTTCATCGTTATTCGTCATCCCTTGTCAAATTTGATTTGGAGACAAACCATACAAAAAGGAGGAAAGAGTCGAGCACGGATGGCCTATCGCTATAAAATATCAGAAAAAATTCCTCTTACACCCGACTGGGAGGTATTGACCGAAACAATTTTAAAATTAATTTAATGCGTAACGTTCATTTAAATTTGCAGAGGTGCTCTAAAATTTTTCGGCATACAATTTTTGACATTTTTTATGTATTTGTCATTGTCTCTAACTTCTTCCAACTTTTTTTAAGCCAATTTAGCTTCATTTTCTGTGATCATCTGGCTAAGAGCAGACAAAATGGAAGTATATACTTTGTTGTAACAGGATAAAATACATATGTACATATGTGTATCTTTGGGTTCCAGAAAAGTGATGTGAAAGGCCTGGACCAAAAACAAATGTGGGTCATTCCGTGTCACGTTGTATTCTACGCCTAAAACTATGCAACAAGTAATTTCAGTAAACCTTCTTTTCGCAATATGTAACTCAACTTCGAGATTTATGATTAAATGAAGAGGTGCAAGAAAAGAAATTATGTGAGTAAGTAATAAACTTTTATAAAACGAAGATTTACTTATTTACATGGAAACAAATATGTAACGCACACATACATACATAAGTAAGTTCTAAAGGATAGCAAAAGAAATTTACACAGAACAGATGAATCGAAGACTAGGAGGGAATTTAAAATAAGGCTCGATAGTACATAAGTATAACTAGAATAGATTTAAGAATTTCATATTCAAGTGCTTGAATTAAAAACTGAGAACTAATGGAAACAAGTTAGTGAGTTAAGAACAAAACTTATTAAAAATTCAAACGCAGATATGCCCTGCAATTTTTCAAAAGACAATGAAACCACACTCAAGCACTTAAACAAATCCATAAGTAACTGCATTTAAAATTTTGTTTTCTTTTTCCGATTTAAAAACTTTGCATTTCTCACTTTCAATGCTATTAGTTAGCCAAATTACAAATAAATCTTAAGCAACTACAACAATTCTTACCCAGTGGAAATATGACCCTCGGAATGAGTTGAATGCGGAGTCAATGGTGGCACTGGTGAGCCACCAGAGTCTTCGGACGGTGTTTTCGAAAATAAGTTACCACCCAACTCTGAGACCAAAGTGATTGGTGAACTGAGAGTTTGCGAGCAAAACAAAAAGAAAACGATGTTTTTTGTTTGCAGTGAGGTGAGTTAAGTGGAGTGGGGAGGTGGATTATATGTACAAAACAAAACAAAAAAAATGTAGTAAAAGCAATAAAAAAGGTTGGTATTTTTGAGTAGATGGTATAAAGCGCGTGTGTTGGATCGAGCGTTTTTTTGGGTGCCGGTTTGTATGTGCAAAAAGTGTTCGAAAATAAGTAAATCAAAAAAGGTACATAAATTGTATGGAGAGTTTGTTTTTGGTATACAAAAGAAAGAAGTAAAATATTCCAATCGCCGCAAGTTTAGTGAGCATTTTTTTCATTATTTACAAAGAATGTTTGTTGGTTTTAATTTTTTGGGAAAAGAAGAAAATCAAAGGAAAAGTGGAATACCAATTAAATTTGCATTTTCATAATAAAATTAAAACTAATTACGTAATTAATAATAAACTTAAAAGCGCATTCACAATCGAAAGCCACCCTGTGCTTGGCTACTCACCTTGAGAATACTTTTGAAAATACGCTCTGATTCGAATCGCCCGTATTGGGCGCCGAATCAGAGTCCGCCGACTTGCCCAGGCTGCCACCAGTACCCGGAGGGCCAGCTGCTTCGCCAGTGAGGCCTTCAACCCAAGTCAACGGATACGATAAACGTTTCAACATCTGCAAGCAAAGGAGAGTAGATTAAAAATATGTTTTCCCTTTTCTTTTTAAATACAATTTCTTTATACTTTATTCTTCTTCTCAGCATTCTTATCACCCTGAGCGGCGGTCGCTGCCGCCGATGCTGCCACCGCCGCAGCAGCTTGTTGCTCGCCGTTATTGTCGTCGACGCTAAAGCTAACGCTGGAGGTCTTCTTGCGTCCACCGCTTGTGGTGCCCGCGTCGAGACTTTGTGCACCCAACACCGAGCTGCGCGGCGGTGATTCGCTCATCAATGTCGGCGAGATGGTCTTCGGCGGCACCCAATCGGAGCTAAGCACAATATCGGCATCACTGTATACGGTCTTCTTTGGTATAGGCTGCAAATTTGGTATCGGATCGCGTATATCGATGCCAGAATCGTAGCACGACTGCTTTGATAGTTCTTCCAGGTGTTCGAGATCGGCGGGTGCTAGACCGCCAATCACGTGCACTCCCATGCCACTCACCGCACCAACGCCGCTGATCGAAGAGGTGGCCGAGTGTGGATCCTGCCCACGTGCGCCACTATCGATGGTCGTTTGCGATTCGTTGTCGCCTTCGTCTTCCGATGATCTTCGGGAATTAAGATAATAGAGGCTGAATTTTTTGAAAGTTTTCGGAAGTTGGAATTGCAAAATTTTAAATATGAATTTGTGAATGGACACGCGTTGTTGATGATTTGAGTTTGGTTTCGTTTAGTGGACAATTTGGTTGATATTTGCAAACAAATAATGGAAAGCAGCAGTTGGAGGGGTAAAACCAGAGCAGATGTAAATGGGTTGTATTATTTTTGCGTAGTTGAAAGTTGTTGACAATTATGTTTTACCATATTTATAGTGGAGTAGGTACCGTTGAGTTTTTTTTTAGTTTTTTAATTTGAGAAGTTTTAGAAAATACACATAATGGGTGTGCGTTTGTGTGGCAGTTTCACAATTCAAATATGAAAATATAGAAAATAAAAGAATTACAAAATTAAAACCGACATTTTATAGTTAATATTCTATACTACCAATTATTATTTATGCTATAGTACACAGACCCACGCACACACGCTGTTACGGCATGCGTGATTAGTCAGCGTGGTAATAGAGAAACACGAGACCGCGAGTAAAGTAGGAAAAATGTTGAATTGTCGCCAATGACATAAGACCGATCTACATACACACATTAAGGGCGATTTATTTCTGATGGGTATTAATTGCCAAACAAATTTTTTCTTAAATATTAGGAAGCATGACATAAAGTAAATTTACTAGGTGGGCGCAAGTGGCTCACAGAAGCTGTAAGTTAGTAAGAAAGCCAGAAGATTTACACAAACTATTTCAGAGACTTTGAAAATACCTAGAAGTTGGTTGTAAAGAAGTTGAATTGAGAAAAAAAGGACAGATTTATTTAAAAACTAAGAAATGTTTTTTGGGAATTCTCTTTCAGCAGTAATTTTTTTCCTCTGTTTGGAATCATTTGTAGAAGCATATGTTCTAAATTGTGGAAAATTTTTATTTTCATAATTTTTCAAAAATATATTTTTTTGTTTCATTATTATTTTCTAATTAAAAAAGTACTCGCATTTTAGCAAAGGACTTTTTAGTGAAATCTCTGAAAAAAAGCCTTAGAATCGTTTGTTTTCTTTTTAGCTAAAAAATGTATTTCAGTTCCAAAAATTATTCAGAAGAAAAATACGAAGCAGATACAAATTTTTTTAATTATTTGTTTAACAAGGTCTAAATATCTAAAAAAACCAAATCTTTAAATCTTACAAATATTTATTCTACTTAAGTGTTTTACTAAAAAGATAAGTAATAACAAATTTGTTTCATATATGTACATTTTTTAGTTTTTGCTAATTTTTTACCCAAATAATAATTTATATTAAACAATTTTATTGAGCTTAAGGCCGTTTTTGGTAAAAAATTGTTCCGAAAACTAAAAAAACATTAATAGGAAATCCTATTTTTAATAAGAAACTTTGGCAAATGAAATCACAGAATTTGAATTTTTTAATTCAGAACAAAATTTTAGTGTCTAGATTTTTTTTTTAGTTTATATAAATAGTTTTCGTTTTTCATAAATTTTTGTGTGCATATATTTGGAAAATATTTTGACGACGTCTCAAAAAAAACATGTTCAGCCTTATCGCCAACTTCATGTGAATAAATCGCTCCCATAATTTAGCAGGCAAAAAAAAAACAAAACTGATTGGAAAAAATTGTTTTTTTTTATAATTTTAGGTAATATTTGTTACCGATTATCATTAATTGATAACTACAAATTTTTTCCATATTTTTTATTTTTTGTAAATTAATATTGTATATATATATATTATTAGTTTTTAAAGTAGTTTTAACAAAAAGTATGCTCTCTCTTTGGTTAAAAAGAATTTCTTAAAAAAAAATGAAATTACTTATTTTTTGTTTTATTTAAAGCACATTTTTAAAGAAAAATTACTAAACACGAAAAAATGTATGAATACTCAACGAATTGGTTAAATGCCTATTTCAAATAGAACTTTGTTGTTGTTGTTGTAAGGGCTTTACTAAGCCCCGCCTAGTTCGGTTAGTCCATCAATCGTAGTCGTCAAGTTTAACTAACGGTGGGCTCAAGAAATGGGCTGTTTCAACGGGGTCGGACCAAAGAGAGACTGGTCTTAGTTGAGTGAGATTGTGCTGGCATGTGAAGAGGTGGTTGGTTTCGTGTGGGAAGTCTCCACATGCTGACTGGGGTCGAGTCTGGACAGGTAACAGTTGACTACAATATCCAGACCATAATTGGGCCAGACACCAATGCAAGTAGAACTTTTTACACATGTGGTGAGATTTATTTGCTTCTCGCTATAGGTGAGATATATCCGCTTATCCTATAGGAACAAACACTAAATAGTTACGTGTACCGAGACCTAACCAGAAAAACGTAAGCGATAAATTTGGAAAATATTATTTTTGATGAAGTAATGCCCCTAGAGCATATTCATGCATTTCAGCATCAAAAGGAAAATGTTTAAAAAATTACGCTTCGTTTTTTGGCAGCTAGGGCTCGAACGCACTAGTACGGTGTCTTTTCTCTCTATTCCTATGAAAGTTTAACCTTCTCTCCGCAATTTCTTAAGTATCTAGACTACTTCGTTTCTCTTCTGGTATTCAATAATCAGTTTAACTTGTGAAACAAAAGGCAAGAAGGAATAAACTTAGATGCCTACTTACAAATCATAAAGTATGCAGTGAGATGCGTGGTAATTGGGTACAGGGCCATAGACATACAGGATAGACAGATTTTTTTCAGCCATAAATGGCCACTAAGAATCGGGTACCGCGCTGGCTTATTGCTTACTACATACATTCCGCTAGCAAATATAAAAAGGCTTAGATAAAACTGAAACGACGGTGCTTAAATCAGTAGTTTCTCTACGATCTGTTAGAATTAATTTTGTTGAAGGTCAGGAATTTACCAAGCCTCATATTAATGTATCCATTTGGTCTTGTTTCTAGGTATACGGCCGGCATAAACTAAGAGCCATAACGCTATCATTATGGACTACCAGACCTACGGGCATCGTCATCTAGAGTTTGGATGAGAACGTTTATGTATAACGAATACTACAATTTTCGAACTTACTGGTGAATATACAATTACATTTACAGTTCGAAAATTTTCACATCGCTTTCGGCTTATTTTAAAACATCCCTGCGACCAAATACTGCATTGAAATCGCGCTGAAAATATTCGGCTTTAATGAAAACTGTTTTCCGTAATTTTGTTATATTAAAAACCATTTGTAAAAGTTAACCAACTAATTTCAATTTTTAGAAATATATTTCGTAAGACGCAGAAATTTCGACGACATTTTATCTAAAATCGTGAATTGTGTTAAAATTCCAGAACTTTAGAAAAAGTCTGTAGGCTTATTCGGAACACGAATACCATCTAGGCTATGTGAAGAACAAACTGGACCTGAAACCATTTAGGTTAGGTTAATGTTGCTCTGAAGGCTCTCATAGATCGATTGATGCCGAGCGTAAAAAAAGTTCCAGTATTTATCAGCACACTCTTTGATATACAGATACACAGATCTATTCTAGAAATTTCTGAAGGAGTACATAATTTGTAATCCTCTTAAAAAACATTTCATCGAAACAGTAACGAGTGAGAAAGAAAGGAAAGAGAGTGAGAGAGCGGCGGGAAGAGAGACGAGGACGAAAACAAAAAACATCGACAAGAATGCATGCAGTCTGGAGAATTTCACGCGAATACGGATCGAATGCTGATTGCTTACCGATCCTTGCTTGGTATGGCCCAATGGTGATCCAGCAGACTTTTGCGTCTTTCCTCCAGAGTGGTGCGTGTATCGGTGATATTAAGGTTCTTCTTCAAATCATTAGCATCAGCATTGTCAGCTGTTTTGTTATTGGCTTTCGCACTGGCCGAATCACCCTCATCATCAGTCTTAGCACTTTCTTTGGCTTCCACACCCTTCTCGTCATCTTTATGCTAAAATATAAAGTACACATATGTAAATATAACTTTAAACTATAATCAGCATAAAAAATATATGCATGCACAATAATCACTTACCTGCGAACACAACGACTCCTGATCGTCACATGCCTCCGACGAACCACCTGTTTGTTTTCAAAGTGAATATATTAATACGTATATGACATGAATAATTGGCGTGAATAATTTGACACTGCAAACACATTCAAGTATAGGTACATTTGTACAGATTTATCAACGTCTTATGCAAGCGACGTACGCTTACCTTCACCTTCGCCTCGCTGTTTGGCTACGCCACCGTCTGCTTCGTCCGCCGCCCCTTCTTCTTTGGCCTCCTTAGCCTGTTGCGCTTCTAATACTGCTTTTGGATAGTAGATTTCGGCATTTTCATTTTGTTCGGTATTCACACCGCCCGATACACGCATGTGCGCTATATCATGAAAAATGGCCGCATTGACGACCAACTCCATTGGTGCAATTACTCCATAACTTTCGGGTCCATGTTCGATCACTAATGGATCAGACACATTTGGGTCGAACATAACGGCATTGGGTGTGACCAAGAGGACACCACCCACAACACCCTGTCCATCGGTGATATGGCGTACATTGATTTTGAGGAAACGTTGTGTGATAACGGGATCATCACTCTTATTGGCTTCGGTCGGTGCGTTGTCGGCGCTCTTCTCAGAGTCGACGCGTTCAATGTGTCCCGGCTTTGGTGAGCCCGGGCGGAGACCTTCAAGTATGTCTGAAAAAAGAGAAAAATAGAAGGAGCGATCAGTAAAATGTTTGAAAAATAGTTAAGGCAAATATTAGATGGCTAAGGTAATTAACCTTCATCCGTATATAATTTTTCCAAACGAATTCGGTGTTAAAGTGTCAAATGACCCTGCATACCAAATGCATTGTTTTAACGTGAAATTAATTAAACAATATTTGTTTCGGTAAAAATGTGTTGGAATATGAATAAACCTTGGGTTTTTTTAGGAAAAAACTATTTTCATTTATTTCATATTTACTACCTTATTATGTATGTATCTTGAACGATAGGCCGCACGAACGATTCGTCTGAGACGACACCGTCTCTGATTGCAAATTATTAGTCCATCGGTCGTCTTCGACTTGCATTGCGTCGATTAAGTTGCAATAGACTCGGTTACTTTTAAAATGGCTACACTTATGCCGCCGGACTAATTTTTAAAGCACTCCTTTGCAGACGGAGCGTTCGTGATGCCTAAGGTAAAGCCAGTCGCATTTTTGATGAAAAGTAAAGGAAAAATATTTATTGAGAAAAACTTAGATAATTAGGAAGATACGAAAGATATATAACGACAAATATATGAATATACCAAGTTTAATAACAAAATATAAAGACAAACTAACGGGCTAGGAATGGGTAATCCCACATCCGCAATTTTAATGGAAGTGTTCATGCAACATTTAGAGGAAAAGTATATGACGGCGCTGACAACAAACCTGGAAGTAAAGTTCTACGCAAGATACGTCGATGACATCATATGTCTTGTAATGGGAGACAAGGAAGAACAAATTTTAGGCTATCTCAACGACCAAAATACGAATATAAATTTCACTATGGATAAGGAAAACGAAGGAAAAATAGACTATTTGGACATAACAATCAAAATCAATAAGGTTACCAACAAAACCAAACAAAAATGCAGCCTTTAGACAACTAGCAACCAGGCTTCAACGAACGAGCAAAGAACTAAATACGATATACGCAATATATAAAAATAACGGATACAGAAAGTGTAGTAAATAAGATAAGAAGAGAAACAAGAACGAATAAATCAAATAAGAAGGAAAATAATGAAAACGCTTGGGCAGACTTAACTTATACGGGCAAAACATCATATAAATTGGCTAAAGTATTCCAAAAGTATAACATCAATACAGAATTTAGAACGAAGGACAACGTGGGGAGGATAGCACAAACGAGGAAGACCCACTAGACAAACAAGGTGTATATAAGTTGACTTGCGAACGAATGTCAACATAGTTACATAGGACAAACCGGGCGCAAGATAAAAACTAGATATCGTGAACATATAAGGGACTAAAACAAAAAAATGCTAAAACCATCTACAACACCGGAACCGAGCTTTGCAAACCTTATGGCAGAAAACCATTGTACACCAACGAAAATAGGAAAGACAGCCAAAGTTCTCCATGTACGGCACAAAGGATAACGCCTAAACATATTAGAGAATATGGATACAAACAAAAGATGTTCGTCGGAAAAATAATAAATGAACAAGCATCTGATATATTGACTGCATTTCTTTATACATTCCGGATAATCTCATTTCACAGCCGGAATAAACAGAATGTGTTTGAAATATACGTTAACATATCATCAGGAACGTTCTAAAGAATAAGTAAACAAAAAAGTTTATTCCAAACGTTCAGAATGAATAAAGAAATTCAGCCATTATTCGAACCACTCAAGCTACTATACGAAAAACAGGACAGAAACCCTGCGACGCCCATAAATAATCAAACGCAAGCCCAAACTACAGAAACAAAGAGAAAGAAAATAACAGATTTTTACCTACCTGAGAATCCATGCAACAATTAATCAAGAAGTGAGCAGCTGATTTCTACCTGCGGATGTATGCACAGAACAAAAACCACCAAAATATTATGATCCACTGAGACGTACCTATCTAAAAACCAACGATGATTTAGCTTGGCTATAAATAGTGACGGACAAACAGAAACTATTCAGAACGAAAAATGACACTGAAGATGGCACAACGCCGAAACCGTTTTGTCTACAAACCAAATTTGACAAGGGATGACGGAAAATCATTCCACATTACATCACTACCCTGTCGAAAACACCAACAACGATAATGAGAATATACATATGATCATTTGCATTCATCGCATACGGACACTCGTAGCAACGAACTATCTTTTGGTAACACAATGATTGAGTACATCTTGATGTTGGAGGTTGCTCTTAGATCGAACAGACCTGAAAAAGGCAAGAGCGTGTATTTCTCGTGGACTTCGTTTTGGTTGGTGAATGTACGCAAATCAAAGCTTTTGACCAACTTCGATCAAAACAAACGACAATGCATCCACGCCTCTCTTAGATTTATTACAGAATTTTATAATATCGGGTTTTAGATCATTTTCCATACCATTAATATGAACTGTGGTTTGGCAAGTGGAGAGTATTACAGAAGATCATGGCCAAATACCAATTCCGTCTGATGTATTGGCTTCTTCGTCATATTAAGTAGTATAATCTGCATCATCGCTATCAACTGTTTCAAACTGATCAAACCAATATCCATATTTTGCCTTAAAAAATGCCTTCTCGTACTATATATCTCTATATCGTAATTTATAGTATAACACCACGTGTCAAGAAAATGCAAAACGTGGTATGAGGCTGCCTTAACTTTATAGCTATCCCTAACTATATCTTCTTCCTATATCTGAATATCGATATTTTAGTATGAATGGATTATAGTTTGATGCCAGGAGCTTCCGGCGAGCAAATATCTTTTTTGGCACAAAAGTTATTCAGCCCTATTCTGCATTTCGATTACGTTCCCGCATTCCGCTCCGCTGGAATCGAACTTAGGTATTCTGCATTACAATCGAAATGGAAGAAGAAGAGGAAGAGAGAAAACATCTTTCGAAATCAGCTGTTTGCCTGGGAATGTGTGAAATCGAAACAAAACAAAGAAATATTTGCCACCAAACTATAGCAGCATATGAAGTTAAAGTTTGTAAATATTTTAAAATAACTAAATACACCTAGCATCACTGTAATTTAAAAATAAAATTTAAGTGGATACATAATTATAAGAATGAAATCCATAGCCGCTGCGTTATCGCTTGAAGAGAAGAACGAGTCCCAGATTGGTGATGCGGAAGTTGAAAGGCGGAGATTTAGGGACATGTTTGATCTTTTTCAGATGAGTGAAGAGTCATAAGGAATTCATCTTGAACTGTGTTACTCATCGCTTAAAGTCAGTGAAATTATAAACGTTGTTTGAGCACTCCACAAAATTTGCATTTACTACAGTGGAAGATTTGAACGCAAATGAATCCCATTTTGTAAGCCGTCAGGAGGAGGGGAAGAACAAAGCTTATCTTTCCATAGCAATCGAATTCGAGGCAACATACGCACCTCTTTTAGTAAAAACGAGTGCAATAATAAAAGCATCGTTTTTATGTAACTTCATATTTTATGTATGTATGTATCTATGTGCATACATCTATTAATTTTATATAAAAAGAATAAATTGCATTCAGTGCATTTCACAGTCTTATTTATAGATAATGTAAACAAAGCGCCTGGACTTCCACTTTGAAAACGTCGACATCCCTTTTGGTTGCCATTATTTGAGCCAATTTTTCGTATTGCCCGTATTACCGCTCGCAAAAAGACAGAAATCGAGAAAATTCATTTATTATGACTTACAATCATGCAATTTTATTATTTAAACCCACGAAAATAACAATTGGAACGTTCTCCGTCAACAAATTTGCAACTTAGAAAAACGGAACTACGATCGAAATGTAGAATACGAATAATCGTAAATTTCGAAGATTGATCGAAAGGAAACGGAACGCAGAATACCAAAGTTGCCAAACGGAGAAAATTCCGATTCGAGTCGAAATGCAGAATAGGGTTGATTTATGAGGTTTTGTAGAACCACGACAAGCGGTTTTGTACCTTAAACGACGATATGAAAATGAAATTTTTCACAGAAATGGTATAGAATTCTTGAAATTCAATATTTTTCGGAAAACTATGGTTCTCTTCAGGATACTTTCTATAATAATACCCAATTGTTTATTTAACGACTTTTAATACTAACGATTTTTTATTGGTTGCCCATTGAATTTTTCGGGGTTGTTGTTATGTTACCGCATAACTTTGGACCACATGATTTCGATAATTCTTTTTGCATCGGAAAGGTAGTGTCTCAGAGGTAGTCCCATACTAATCTGGTTAAGATCCGATCAGTGGATCATGAGATATATATATATATATTTTTTTTTATATGAGAGTTGAAGTCGGTTTTTTTTTTTGCTAAAAATTACTTGTTAACTATTCTATACCATTTCTACGAAAAGTTGATTTCTCCCCATATAAAATACATGGAACACTTTGGGCGGTTTGAGCGACCTCTAAATATTTTTTGGTTTCAAAATAAAAAATAAGGGTATATTTTTTCGGTATAGAACAATACTAGGGGGTGAGAGCATACAAATTCCCACTTTACTTTTTCACAAGCATTTTTGGACCATCCTAATGTGCATACATAGTTATACTCTTCGAATGAGTGACAAAACTAATCAGTAACATTTTCGAACTAAAGACGGCTGGACACTCATGTTTTAATATGTCATTTAACTCGTGTATAAGTTAAACAAATTTGACTTTGAAATAGGTGGCAACCCTCTTTAAAATTTCAAACTAAGTTTTTTGAAATCTCTTTCGCTTGAAATTGGAACACAAATTACAATTAATTGATACATTAAGTTGTCTTAGATTTTTTAAACAAGTGGCAACTCTCCCCATATGGTTCAGAAATTAATCCGTTTTAATCTCAGTTCTATTAACAATATCTCTTAATTGTTAATTTCACTTATTGAATAATTTGAATTGAAATATTCAAAAATGTTCAACGATCTGCATTGGAAGGCTTTCATCAACACCCGCTACCCCTAGACATGAGAGAGCTTGAACTTCTGTGA